GGTGGAGTCTGGAGAAAGGCAGGGGGTGCTGGATATTGGGGTTCAGGTTCCTGGGAGCTGGAGGCTGCTTCCCCCCCCCCCGGGGGGGCAAAAGGGACTTCTTCCCAGGACCTGTGAGGCTCCCAGGCAGATTTGTGGTGTAGGCTGGGGAGCCCAGCTGAGCTCCCTGCCAAGAGGCTGCCCCATCATGGAGCAGGGTCAGGCACCCAGAAAGATGGAGTTGGGGAGGAAGGGGCTGGGGCTGGGCCCTGGGGTGGGGGTGCAGTTGTTCTGCTTTGGAGTATAGTTGAAACCTTAGGGGGAGCATTAGGGTCCTGATCCCACTCCCTGGGAGGGGGACACCCCGTGAGGTGAACACCAGCCTCATACCCATGCCCCTTTGAGGTAGGAGCCCTCTGGGGCTGAGATCTCTAATAAGTGGGGTTCCCTGGGGGAGCAGGGCTGGGTGTCTTGGGCTGCAACGAGGATTTCTCAGGCAGTGTGATGGGTGATCTCTGGTGCTGTGATGGGGCTCCCAAGGGCTGGCATGATTTGAGGAGCTCCTCCCTCCCCCCTGCAGTGTTGGGGTACTGGGCACAGGAGGTGTCTCTGACCCCTGAGGGCTCTGGGCTGTGGGGAACTGGGGTGTCCCTGGGGTGTCTGTGCTGTGGGGGGAGGGGAGGAAGGTGGTGACGTGGAACCCGGCAAGGGGCAGGGCTCTTGGAGCCTGCTTGGCTCCCTCTTCCCCCCGCCCCCCCCCCCACCCCACATCCTCTGTATTGGGGATCCCCCACCCTGGGTGGTGTTCCCTGGCTCACACTCCCTCTCACACACCTTGGGTGGGGGCCCCTCAAGGGGCTGGGTGTGGGGAAGGTAGAGGCCTGTGGTGTGTGGAGCAGCCCCGGGCTGGATTTGGTGGCTTCCCCTGAGCTGTGGCACGATCCCTGGGTAGGAGAACCGGGAAAGGCCCTGGATGGGGTAGGCCTGGAGCAGCCTGCTGTGCCCCCTCGCTTCAACAAGCAGCTTTGTTCTTCCCCAGCCCTGCTTGTGCATTGTACCCCTGGCTCCCACCCTACCTACTTCCCCAGCCTTGCCGGTGCCCCTCACTCCCCCTGCTAGACCTGCAGTGAGCTTCCCTTCCAGCTCTGATGGTCCTGAATTCCTGCTTGCTTCCAGCCCCCCTCTCTTCAGCCCTGGGGTTCCCCCTCACTCTGAGATTCCTGATGCCCCACAACCCCTTGGGTACCCCCATGTTTGTGCCCCCCATAGTCTCAGTTCCCTTCCCCATGACCTAGCTCCCTCCCACTTCAGTCCCATTCAGGATTTCCAAGCATCCTAGATTCTCCTGTGATTCTTTGCATGTCCTAGGGCTTCCCTTCCTGCTCCTCATCCCTCAAAGGCTGTTCCTGGTCCCCTTATGCCCCCTGGGGCTCCCCCCTTGTTTCAGGCCCCCCCAGGCACCCCAGTCTCTTCTTGGGTCTCCATCTATATGCCTGTCCTTGTCAGGCATCTCTTCCTCTCGCAGGTATTTCTGGGAAGAGCCAAGTTCTGTTTGCTGTTGTCTTCACTACCCGGTACCTGGACCTGTTCACTAACTTTATCTCCCTGTACAACACCTCCATGAAGGTAATGACCTATAGCCTCAGGGTGCTGAACCCCCTCTTAGCTCTGGGGTCCCTCTTGGCACCTCTGAGCCCAGATTCTCCCTCTACCTGGGGCTTTTACCTGCTCCAAGCCCCTGAACCCCTGGAGCTTCAGCACTGCCTTTAGCCCCTCAACATCCTAAGTGTCCCTATGTGCCCCCCCCAAGCCTGCAAAGCTATGGTCCCCTTGAAGCTGCAGGGTCATCTAAGCAAGGAGATCTTGGGGGGTGTTAAAAGGAAGCGGCGAGGGGAAGTACAGTGGGAGGGTACTAAGCTGGATGAGCCTGTGGGACAGAGCGAGGGTGGGATACTGGACTGGATGGGCCCTGGGGATGATTTTGTGTAGGGATGGGCTGCATGGGCCTGTGGGGCTTATTTAGGATGCCTGGAAGATGGGCTGCATGTGCCCTTCAAAAGGGGGTGGGGCCATAAAGCAGTGAAGAGTGTTCCTCCTCGCTGACCCCCCACTTCCTTTTGTATGTAGGATTTTTCACTGCCAGCCCTAAAAGATGGTACATTTTTTCCTATGTGGTTTTTAGACCTTCCCAGCTCCCAGAGGCAGCTGCATCTCAGCGCTGGGGTCTGTGGGGCAGTGTGGTCTGTCTGTGCAGACCCAGGGCTCTGCCAGGGCAGTACTTATGCAGTGGTGGTGACTTCCAGTCCTGAATCCCAGGTTTATCCCTTCTCCAGGTAGTGTACATTGCCTGCTCCTATGCCACAGTCTGGATGATCTACAGCAAATTCAAGGCCACGTACGATGGGAATCATGACACTTTCCGGGTGGAGTTCCTAGTAATCCCCACAGCTGTGCTTGCCTTCCTGGTGAACCACGACTTCACTCCCCTGGAGGTAATCACAGGTGTTCTGGGGGGTGGGGTGGGCATTTCACGACATTCCAGGGGTGGGGCAGCTGTGGAGGGATACCCCCTACCCCAAGGGGCATAGCTAGTATGTGCCTGCCACATGTGGCTGTCTGTTTCCCCTACAATCTTGTAGCCAGACTGCAGCTAGCATGTTGTTCATGCATGTGGCCTCTGTTAATAGGCCGGGTCTCCTCTCTGGTAACCAGGCCACAGCTGGGGCACTGCTCTACATTGGTGCGCCATGGGTCCTCTTTCTCCAGTTTGGTAGTTGGGTCACGGCTGGGGCATTGTCTAGAATGGTGGGCCACACTAATACACTGCCCCATCCACTTTATGGTAGTTGGGTCACGGCTGGGGCATTGTTCCATGTTAGTGCACTGTGGCTTCTGTCCCCTGTCCAGTTGCCAGGCTGTGAGGCACCTTGTCAACAAAGTTGCCCCACCTTAATGCACCATGTCCTTCCATCTGGTAGCCAGGCTATGGCTGTGGTACTGCCTGCTAGTGTGCCTCATGCTAATGTACTATGGCATCTTTGCCCCTGTACGAGTCAGGATATGTCTTGGCCATTCTCCTGCTTTGATGTACAGCGGCTCCTTTGCTATCCTGCCAGTGGCCAGGTGATGTGCTGGTGTCTTTTTTTTTTTTGTGGCCCCTGATGTTGAACATCCCAGGTCTGGTCCCTACAATGGACCTGTCCCTGGGCTCTGCTTTAACTTGTTCTTTCCATCTCCACCCTCCCCTTCTCCTGCCCCTACCTTGGCTCGTGTGTGCCATGACTGCCCCAAGATCCTCTGGACCTTCTCCATCTACCTGGAGTCGGTGGCCATCCTGCCACAGCTGTTCATGGTGAGCAAGACAGGTGAAGCGGAGACCATCACCAGCCACTATCTCTTCGCTCTGGGTGTCTACCGTGCCCTGTACCTCTTCAACTGGATCTGGCGTTACCAGTTTGAGGGCTTCTTCGACCTCATTGCCATCGTGGCTGGGCTGGTGCAGACCGTCCTCTACTGTGATTTCTTCTACCTCTACATCACAAAGGGTGCGTGCCAGCTGCCAGAGTGGGGTGTCTAGTGCTTAGAGCAGAGGTGACCTGGCTCTGGGAGGAGGGTGGGGTTTAGTGGTGAGAGGGGATGGTTAGGAAGTTGGGACTCCTAGGTTCTATCCCAGCTCTGAGAAGGGAGTGGGGTTTGGTGGGTTAGAGCAGTAGTGGAGAGGCTGAAAGGCAGGACTCTTGGGTTCTCTTTTCACCCTGACATTATCTTGCTGACCCAATTTGACTACTCTGCTCTGTGGTTTCATGAGTTATCCTGCACAAGGAAAATGCTAAACTTGTTGCTTGGACATATCTGGGTAGTTGGGTCTTCTGGGTTACTTGGGGATCATCTCTTGCAGACATGGCCGTGGTTGCATTGTGGCCCCAGGGGGCGCTATGCTATTGGAAATGGTGCCTTTCCTGTGAGGCACAGACTTGCTGTGTAGTGCCAGCCTCCATTCCTCCTCCCTGGCTCACCTGCTCTGCTCCAGGTGGTTACAACAACCAGTGGTTTTCAACCAATGGGTGTCCAAATGAGTGTCTGTTTTTTAGAGGGGGCTGGTACCTGTAGCTGGGTACAGTGAACAGGGCCTTCATTGCCTCTGGTAATCGGGTACCTACATTTTAGGCCTTTGATTCCCTTAATACTTTTCTAGAGCTGCCCTGCTCCACCCCAGAGGTTGCTGTACTGAGTAAAGACTTCTGTTACATATAGGTGCCATGTCCCACCACAGAGGTGGCTGCATCTCACTACCAAGTAGGGAGGTCCTGTACAACCAGTTGCCCTGTCCCCATGTGAGAAGTGACCACATCTTTGTTCAAGTGGATCTTGGTGCTGGGTGAATGATTTCTGCATACACAGCTGGTGTGTCCCACCCCAGAGGTGGCTGCACATCAGCAGAGGGTGAATATGTAAAATACCTCACTGATATTGGAGAAACTGAGAACCTTTTCTCCCTTCCTTCCTGCAGTTCTGAAGGGAAAGAAGCTCAGTTTGCCAGCATAGTGCTGACCCAGTATCACTGCCCTCCTTTGACACACGAGGAGGAAGAGGAGGGGAGACTGATCTTACAAACTACAGACACGTACCATTTCTGACACTTTTTTCTGTTTTAGTTTTGTTTTTTGTTTGTTTGTTTTTTTTACCAACCAAACCAGCTACAAGCCGAACTGAGCTCTTGTCTTTTCTGTCACCTGGAACTTTTAGCTACTTGAGCAAGAGACCACAGTGATTTGGGATGAAATAGCATCCCTACTCGGATGCATCTTTTCTTCTTCTTTTTTTTTTATCGTCAAGAAACTGGTCTCTGGGTTTGAGAGTTCGTAGTTTCTGCCTTTTGGATAAAACAGTCCCATCCCATCTCAACCCCTCTCCCTTCTCTTATTTTCCTCTTTCCTTATTTTTACAAAGCGGCCAGGGATATTTTAAACGGGCATCTCCTCTTCCTTTTAGTGAATTCCACTTCTAATACTCCTTCCTGCACCCACTCCTTGGCTGGGTAGATAAAGATAGGCAACCTGAGGACACCACTGCCACTAAAGGAGGTTCACCAGCCTGCTGTGCTGATCGCGTGTTCAGAGGTTTGCCAGGTGCTGAAGTGCTGTGTGTTAGCAACATAGGGTGGGGTCTTTTTTTTAATCCTAAGGGGAAGGCATTAAGCCTCTGGTTCCTTTCATTACAGATCAGTTTGGGGTTTTTTATTTTGTTTTGAGGTGGGAATTGAAACTCCTGGTTAGTTTATTCCTTTTTTTATTGGCAAAGTGGGTGTGATAATATTAAAAACTCAAATCTCCTTGTTTTGTACATAATTGATGGTTAAGTCCTTGTTCACTTTAAATAAACAAAAAAAACAAATTTCTCTTTTTTTTTTTTTTTTCAATTGATTAGTGCCTTTTTGGAAAATTTCAATAAAAGAGACTCCTGCTTTGTTTTCCTATTCTGCGTATATTCACCTCATTCTGTTTCCCGCTCTGTTTTAATTGGATGCAGAGCTCCTCTTCACTTCCTGTCCTAAGCTGTTGTGTGGTTTCGTTGCATGCTAAAGAGCTGTTTTGTGCCATGGAAGATTTTAGACTTAAACTATGCTTTGATGGAATTTTTAAAATGGAAAATTGGCCTGATTCAAGAAGCCTTCTGTGAAAAAACGTTGGTTTTCCAGGGAAAATCCAAATTGTTTTTGTTTTTCATTGAAAAAATGAATGCACAAAACCTGAAACGTTTTGATCTGGGATCCACTCACATAGTGCTTCCTGAGCCCCACTTGCCTGTATGAGCTGGGCTCCCTAGAGGCACATCATATCCCCTTATGCACTGCAAGAAACCAAGATGTATTGTGACAAATAAAGCATAACCAAGACCCAAAGAGGAGAATAGGAGCATGAGACTCTGTAGCAGCATTTCAAATATGAAATAATTTGTGGGGGGTTTTTTGTATTTTTTTTAAATGAAGAGCTGAACTCTTCCATGGAGAACAGAACAGAAATTAATTTTTGTCCCTTGTAACCCTGGAATCGCAGAGGAAGGCCTGTTGTGGGGATGGCAGGTACTCAAGGTAAGGTCATTTTGTCTGCATCGAGCACGACATATTTAGACTCTGCGATCACAGCTTTTGGTTTTGTTCAAAAGAAAAGGGAAGCTTCCAGCCCTCAGGGTTGTGAGGAGAAACTTCCTTGTGTGACCTGAATGTAAGATGCAGCGATGCCTAGCTGAGTCTGCAGGCAGTTTGATGTGACAGAGCGCCTTAATTCCTTATCCATTAACCTCCTTGAACTGTCAACTGTTCCTTGTCACAGGTTGCTGTTGATTGTTTTTGCAGAAGGTGTGGGTGCATGAAAAGGAATACAGAGAGAAGAGCTGAGCTAGGGAGGAGCAGGAAGGAAATGCAAGGAGAGAAATAGCACAGGTCCCAGTGGGGTAGTGCATTCTCCCAGTGACTGATTTTTATCATGAATATAAAGAACCACAACAAATAGTTACTATGTAAAGATAGATTCTGTCTATGTCCTTGGTGTAAACCTCCCTCTGCCATCAGTGAAGTCGGGGCATGCCCCTGTCCCTGCTGAAAAGTGGGGAGCTGTCCCCTCCCCTGGGCATTTGGCAGCCATGCCTGCTGGCTTTCATCTTGCTGCTCCTCTGGGCCTCAAGTCACCCTCCCTCTTGCCTTGTGACATGAATTAAATCACATTCTGGTTCAGAAAAAAAGCCTCTTTATTTACTGCAGCAAGAAAAATAATTTCCCTAATTGTCATTGCTGAAACTGAGTCGGTGTGTAGGGGGAGTCTTTGGGTTGTGGGGGGAGCCAGTGGGAGGAGCCTCAGTGGGGCTGTAATGCTCCCCACTAATTGGAATGGAAGTGGTGGTGACAGAGGAGAGAGTGGTCAGTGCCACAGCTCCCTCATCAAAGGATCGTTGGTAGGGAACAGATGGCTCAGTCCACAGCTTCTTCAGGGCCCGATAGCCCAAGTACACCTGTGTGAGAGAGAGGAGAGACCTGTTGGATATACATGATTTCTGGAAAGCATTTGTGTAATTCCAGATAGAACAAGTGTACTGCAAAATAATGATTGCATAGCATCATAGGATTACAGAAAATGAGGGTTGGAAATAACCTCAGGAGGTCACCTCGTCTACCCACCTGTTCAAATAGGACCATCCCCAACTAAATCATCCCAGCTAAGGCTCTGTCTAGCCTGGTCTTAAAAACCTCTAAGGAGATTCCATAACCTCTTTGGGTAACCTGTGCCAGTGCTTAACTACCCTTCTGGTGAGAGAGTTTTTCCTAATATCCAACCTAAACTTCCCTTGTTGCAATTTGAGACCATTGCTCCTTGTTCTGTCCTCTGCTACCACTGACAACAGTACAGCTCCATCCTCTTTGGAACTTCCCTTCAGCTAGTTGAAGGCTGGTATTAAATACCTCCTGGGTCTTCTCTTCTGTAGACTAAATATACCCAGTTTCCTCAGCCAGAAGTCATGGGCCCCAGCTTCCTAACCATTTTTGTTGCCCTCTGCTGGATTCTCTCCAATTTGTCCACATTCTTTCTGCAGTGGGGAGCCCAAAACTGGACACAGTACTCCAGATGTAGCCTCACCAGTGCTGAGGAGAGGGGGAGAATCACTTCACTTGCTCTACTGGCAATAATCCTACCAATGCAGCCCAGTATGCTATTAGCCTTCTTCACAAGGGCATGCTGCTGGCTCATATTCAGCTTATTGTCTGCTGCAACCCCCAGGTCCTTCTCTGCAGAGCTGCTGCATAGCTAATTGGTCCCCCACCTGTACCAGCACATGGGGTTCTTCTGTCCTAAGTGCAGGACTTTGCACTTGTCCTTGTTGAACCTCATGAGATTTCTTTTGGTCCAATCCTCCAGTTTGTCAAGGTTTATCTGAATCCTAGCCCTATCCTCCAGCATATCTACTACTTCCCCAGTCTGGTGTTATCTGCAAGCTTGCTGAGGGTGCACTCTATCACATCTTCTAGGTTGCTGATGATGAGTCCATGTCCATGCTCACACTGCCCAAGGTTTTGAGGATGTCCCCCATGGTTCTGGGTGATGTAGCAAGCTGAATTACTCTATGATTTTTTTCCTAGGAAATTAAAAAAACTTGTCTGTCCTTTCTGGGCACGTAGAGGGGAACTGTGGGAAGACACTAGAGGACCATGGGGTTTGGAAGGAGCTAGCTAACATCCATGCTATCAGATGGCTGCTAAACCATGCTTACTTGGATTATAGCTTATAACCTCTCTAAAGCCAGCACTATCGAATTAAAAACCCTGTTGCAGCTGAGCTAAATTATTTTGTGTGTGAACAGGATTGGATTTGGAAACATGCTCAAGTAATAAATGAAGTTAACTTTGCAGTGAAGACAAAACCAGAGAATGGCCTCTATGGCTAGCTCCCCAGGTGGTGGAAATCCATGGAACTCTGGTGACCTCGGTGGAGTGATGCTGAATTGACACCAGCTGGGGAACTGGCTCAGGCTTTAGAAAATGGTCAGATTTTACTGACTCACCCTTTCCTCTGGCTCTTGAGCATCTCTCTTGTTCCAAGATGTAGCATAAGTCTATGGATGGCTAAGCCCTGACTCATTCATCTGGGCTGTGCCAGGGCTAAATGAGTGAGCCAGAGAAGGGCTGTCACCCTTGTGTGAGAAGGTATTTCCTGGTAGAGTCAGGGACTGTTCTGACCTTCTGCAGCCCATGGGCCAGAGGACTGCCCTGAATGAGATTTTGCCTGAACTAAAAGCAGGGGTTCTTGAAAAACCTCCATGGCAAGCAACTAGATCTGCATCTCTCTGTGGAAAGTGTGAGTCACCCATTTGTGGTAAGCGAACAGATGGTCTGTTTTGTGGCCTGCTCCCAGAAGGGCCTAACAGCAGAACTCCCTGTGAAGTCAACAGTTTCAGAGGTGTTTCAGGACTCAAGGCACAAGTGAATAAGGTCTGAGCCCTTTGTCCTGTCTTTGTGTAAGCACCCTGTAAACTCCTGTGCCTATTTCACAGGGTCTCTCCTTTGGTGCATGATGAGAAACTGTCCAAAGATGCAGTAAAATGTGAAAGGAGGAGCTTAGTCTGAGAGAGGCTGTTGGGTCAGGGTGGGAAGTCAGCTGTGGTCAGTATCCAGGTGGACAAGTGAATTGAACACAGGTTCTGTCAGCAAAAGAACAAGGAACTCTTGGTTTATAATCATAGCTCTGTACCTAAAATGCCTCAGATGCCTCAGTTTCCAAAAATATCTGCTTGTGTGTGTTAAAAGGGTTAACTGCTTTGGAAATGTAAAGTGATACCTCCCTTTTAAATGGTTAGAAGGATAAACCCTTACTGTAAATGAAAGAATCAAGCAGGGAGATCCCAGAAATGCTCCCATCCCACTCTACCTCCTCAACTAGAACTTAGTTTCCTGGGAAGGGCTTGGTTAGGACTAAGGAATGACCCCTTGCCCTCTCTCTGGCAGTGAGGTACACCTGGCATGAGGCAATGCAGTGGAAGTTTAACTGCAATTGCCAAATCAAGTGGTTTGTTCTTTTCTGAAAGGGCTGGAGCTGAGAAAGAGTTTGGAAAAGTTCTTACCCAGCATGGGATGGAGAAGAAAGCAAAAGAGATGCTGGCACGGGCAGAGCTGCTTCCCAGCAGGTAGCGATGAATAGACTTTGTCCACTGGTTGGCCAAGAAAGAGAAGGCGACGAACCATATGCAGGACCAGATGACTGGAAGGGTGGGGAGAGGAACATGAGGAGGCAATTCAAACAGAAGTAGGAAGGTCATTAGGAGGTGAGAGCAGAGCTGTATTGCACAGATCAAACCTCCTCAAAGCAAGTAACTGAGGCAATGGAACTTGGCTGGAAAAGATAAAGCAGCAGAAAAAATATTGCAACAGTGATAAGGATATAAACCAAAGGAGCAGCACATATGGCAGGAGCTCCTACTCCAAGGAGTGAACCAATTGCTTGAGGAGTTTGGGTAGTATAGCTTTCAAAATGCAGCAAAAATGCAAGAAGCACTACTTGTCTGATTTTATCTTTTTATTGGTCCAAATTTATAGTTGGGAAAGATGTTAGATAAGCTTTTGGGTACAATATGCCTTCCCTCAGGTTACCCAAAAGCCTGTCTAACATGTAACAGCTTTCCCAACTGCAAAGTTGCCCCAGTACAACATATCATCAGGCAACTCATGCCCCTCACAGGGACTGGGGGGATTTTTTTCTCTGGACAACTAGCATAGTGTGTAAAAGAGATGCTTTGCCTTCTGGGTGTCTTCAACTGAACCTGAGAGGGAGAGAAGACCCCAGATGGATTAATGGTCTGATCCAGTATGGAAGGGACATTTGACGAAATGGGCTAGCAGGCTGGCCTACCATGACAACATACTAGCCTAGATGGATCATTAGACTAATCAGAGGAGCCAGGGAAATGACTAAATGAACCACCTGTCTGATCTGGAGCAGTGGGGCAGCTGGCAGGGGTAGCTCTTCACTGAGAATGCTTGGCAACCTGTGGATTCATTGTATTATTGGCAGAGGATCTATTCAGACTAGGCAAGAAGTGGGACAGCAGACAAGATGTCTCAATGCCAAGATTTCCAGCCCTCTGGTTCTGGCCAAGATGAATGGGCATGAAAATCTGTGAGCATAGCTGTTTTTAAGGATAAACAGCTAGGCCATTTTTCAGAGCCCCACTTGGTTAAGTTAGTGTCAGTCACCCAGGTGGGAGCAGGGGGCTCATGCCTTAGGTCTACCTCAGGTCCCTCCATGAGGGAAGAGGGATGAGTCATACTGCAGGGCTGGGCAGTGGTACCATTTTGTCAATGGAGAGGAATTTGGATTGGTGGGAGGGTTACTTACTGGAGAAGATCACATCCAGGATCAGGATGGCGGATTTGACCCTGTGACTAATGCTGATAATGTCAAAAGCATCAAGGCCGAGG